TCTTTTTATTTCAATTTTGCATAATTTATTTATAGACTATTTTTAAAGTAGTTTTAAGTATACAGAGAAATTCAGAGTAAGTTTAGAGTTCTCATGCTCCCTCTTCACTGTCCAACGCTCCACTCTTACTTAGTAACTTGCACTGGTGCTGTGCGTTTGTTACAACTGATGAGTGCGGTCCGACACATAAAGTGTGTTAATCATGGTGGATGGTGCACACTAAGCCCCACTCTGTGTTGTACAGCTTGGTGGGTTTTGCTAACTGTTCGGTGTCATGTATCCACTATTATATATCTTACAAAACAGCTTCCCTACTTTAAACAACTCTCTAGGCTCCACATATTCGTCCTCTCCCTACTCCACCTTGAATCTTTGGCAGCACTGATCTTTTTAGTGTCTCTATAGTTTTGCACTTTTCAGAGTGTGATGTGGTTGGAGTCATCTATGTATCCTTTCAAGACTGTTCTCCTTTCATTAACAATGTGCATTTAAGGTTCTTCCATGACTTTCTGTAGCTTGATACTTCATTTTTCTTGTTACTGAATGACACTTCATCGCATGAATGTACAAGTTTATGTATCTAGTTACCTATTGAGGGCATTGTGGTTATTCCCAAGTTCTGCCAGATATGAACAAGCCTGTTATAAATATCTGTGCATGCCACACGGTTTTCCACAGCAGCTGTGCCATTGTGCCTGCCTGCTCTCCTTCCTTCCTTCCTTCCTTCCTTCCTTCCTTCCTTCCTTCCTTCCTTCCTTCCTTCCTTCCTCCCTTCCTTTCTCCCTCCCTTCCTTTCTTTTCTTTATCTTTTTTGGTCTTTTTGAGATGGAGTCTCCCTGTAGCCCCAGCTGGCCTGGAACTCAATATGTAGACCAGGTTGGCCCCTAACTCATCCTCCTGCCTCTGTCTCCTGAGTGCTGGGATTAAAGGCATGCGCCACCATGCCTGGCTCATTGTGAATTTCTGTCAGCAGCAAGGGGGGAGTTCCTGTTCCACATTCTATCAGTCAGTGGCATTAGTGTTTTCTCTCAGTCATCCTAATAGGTACGCAGCAGTATCTCAATAATGTTTTCAGTTCTGTTCACCAGTATATTATATGGAGTGTCTTTCTGTGGTGCTTATTTGATATCTGGATGCCTTCTCTATTAAGGTGATCTTTTGCCATTTTTTTTTGCTATTATCTGTTCCTGTTCCACATTCTATCAGTCAGTGGCATTAGTGTTTTCTCTCAGTCATCCTAATAGGTACGCAGCAGTATCTCAATAATGTTTTCAGTTCTGTTCACCAGTATATTATATGGAGTGTCTTTCTGTGGTGCTTATTTGATATCTGGATGCCTTCTCTATTAAGGTGATCTTTTGCCATTTTTTTTTGCTATTATCTTTTTTATTTTTTTAAAATTATTTATTTAATAACCACATACTTAGAAGAAGCATTTCATTACATCAGCATTGACTTATTCGATAACAATTTCCTGA